GGTGAATATTTATAAAGCTAGTTAGGTAAACACTGACTGGGAAAAATAGTGTTATTGTCATAACCTGTACTTAACTCTTTCATCCCTGCAGACACATTTGACCTCTTCCAATTCAAAGGCTGGAATAGTTCATTATGAAATTTCAGGGGTGAATGAGTTAAAGTCCTTTCAAAGTACATCAGGTTTTTCATTTTAAATACCAACAAGTGAATTCTGTGTTTAAACCAAACTGTTAATAAGTCATTGCATATATAAAGGCAAGATGATGAACAGTATAACATCTAGGTTACATGTAACTACTTTGTACTGTAACAGTCAGGTAGGACTGATGTACTATATAACAAGTGGTGACCTGTGCCATGTTCAAAAATAAATACTCTACCTCTTCCTGTTCAGAAGTATTCCAGAGAGGATGTATATATCTAGCTATCTGGGAAGGACTCTATCAAACTATTAACAGTGATAAGTTATATATACATGTATATACATAAAACAAATGTAAAGTTGATCATCAACATTGCACAGGGAGGAAAGAAAACTTTTGAGATTTATTATAAAGTATATGAAAGCTTGCCATTTTTTCAAAATATATTACAAAAATCAAAATGGATTGCAATGAGCAAGTAAATAAGTGTGATTAAAAATAATATATATAGCATACATATTTATTGTTGACAAATCTGATAATAAAATGATAGCAAATGGGACAGAAATTATTCTTGCTGTCTAATTAGATTTGGAATATCAAAGGCACCAAATAGTATATTGCTTGCAGTTGATCTTTCACTTGAATTGTGGTAGAGTAATCAAGTTGAATTAGATAGGTTTATACCTTACCTATCAAATTTAAACTAGTCCTGATCATACACTTAAATTCTGGTAGACCTATCGAGCTGTATTTGATATTGTCCGTCCGATTCAACCACTTTGGTGGGTCCTAAAGGGTGTCGGGTTAGACGGAACAGCAACCTATTACTCATGTAAATTCTTGTCTAGAACAGACAACATTGGAGTAAGAAAGTCTATACAACCTACTTTATCAATGAAAAAACGTAGGTTATGAAATTCTGATCATATTACTGCAAGTGTCTAATAAATAAAAGTGAAATGAGTTAATATTATCATATTTAAATGAGACTACAGTTGAAAAAAAACCTGATCAAACAATGGGAAGTATTTAAGTGAACATTAATGATTTATGTGAACATTTATGAACAAGATGGTTCATTTGTCAGACATATGTGTTTGGTTATAAACGTTACAACAGCTTTTTCTTAAATATATACTTTCTGTAAGATTACATTCAATACAAAATGATATAAATGGGCACTTGTAAGTTTGAGTATAATGCTAATTTTGGACATAATATGATCATAATGTTAGATGCTCAGAAATGAAATTATTAATATTGAAAATGACCTCTTTTTTTACCCAAAATTAATGAGGAAGCAATTTATTGAAATTTAAAGTTATAACAATAGATGATGTGGAAAAAACATCATTATAAAACATTTAACTACCTATACCCTTGTTAACACATGTATAACACAAACAGGCCTGTATCAGTGCAACACGACTTTTATTGTAGGTAACAGCTGGTAAATATATCTCTAAATTATACTGATATTTAATACAATTAGCTATGCTTAACCATGAGTATTAGTTTATGTGACATTAACCCTTTCACCCTACTCAACTTTGGTAGACTCTCCTATGCATTGATTTGGATGAGTCCATTATGGTCTACAGTGGTGAAAGGGTTAAAGATAGGTTTCTAAAACAGAAGATGAAATGTGTACATTTAATATTCAACTTTGTATTAACACAAAGCACAGTATTACATTTCCCTATACATGTTTATCACGGGACAAACAAACATAGGCACTCCTGTTGAGATTCTTTAACAACACAAGTTCACAACACAATAATAATGGCTAGTAATGTTAGCTTGTATTCATAAAACAGTTCTCATACTTAACTCAAGTAATGTGCTCAAACCCTAATTCTTGTAACTCACAGAGTTCATAAAACAGGATTAAAAATCAACCCCTTTAAACAAAAAATGTTACTCAGATTAAAGTTAAGACAAGGAACATACAGAATATTAAAAAAAAAATGAAAAGATAATTCCTTATTTAAATGAAAAATTGAGGTTAAGAGAATCTCAGTTGGGGCACAATAATGGTTTATGGGTAAGTGTCCAGTATAGTAACCAAATTAAAAGAAAATAATCTGAATAAAACTTTTTAACATTATTTTTCAGTTACTTACCTCAATTAAAAGGACACTCAATTTTTGGATTAGAATTAACTATTTGTGAACTGAAATTTTTCAAGTTTGCCAGACAGAATTTAATGAGTTGAAGTTGTTTTAGCTAATATTGGCATTATGAAGTATCTTTAACTATACTGGCAGAACAGAACAAGTGGTCTAATTTAATAAAACCTGTACGAAATGAATTAAATGATATTTTAATGCAAAATTTAATGAAAAGAATCTCTTTTAAAGTATGTTTTATTGCTTGGATTCATACTTAACAAAACTATTGAAGACTCTGTCTCAATACCATGGCATTTGCCAATTGTCAGACTATGCTTGGTAATGCTCTTAAATACGTTTTGTAGATAACTAAAATATCACATGGTCGTTTTCTACTCTACAGTGTTATTACGGTAATACAAATACATGGTATTTATAAGGTCATGCAGTGGGGATGGTGTCACCTCTACATAAGGGTACATAAAGGTATACTTTTCAGTTCGAATATATTGCTAGTACTACTTGTACCCCACGGTGATTTTACATCTGTTTTGAACGTTAATTTTAACACATGTATGTCACACAGATTACAACAACAGTAGAAATCAATTATATTTTGAAATATTCTCATTGAAACTGCCACTATCGAAAAATTCAATATATAGAATATATTTAGATCTTTCTGAAACTGTATCAGTTTTACTGACAAATTTCAAATATCTGGGACATCTATTCCTATGGTATTTATCAGTGTTATTGTATTAAGTAGGAGCACCTGTTCCTAAATCATGATTCCCAACTCAACAAATCAAAAGTCAAATTCAGTGTTTCACAATATTAGTGATCTAGTTAGTATTTAAATCTAAAACAAATCTAGTACATGTTTAAATTTGGAAATAAAATGTAACTCTAGTAGCTAGGAAGAAGTTGGATTTAAAGTATAAAATAGTGTTCTATGTAAATTCCAGCAGTACAAACAAAACTGGCCATTATAATTTTTCATTCATACAATACATTTCTAAAAAAAAGAAACATCACATTATTTGCAAAACACTTCTTTGTGGATTGCAAGATTTTCACCAAACAAATCAAACATGAAGCATTTGTGACAGGGTTACAAAAGTTAACATTTTAATAAATACATCTACCCTGGTATCAGTACAAACAATGCATACAGACGATGTGATATCAATGGTCACTCCACAGAACAATTCTATACCAAATTAAGAATTTTTATTCTTTGCCCCTAAAGATAAAAGCTCTTTGAATAACAAGGCCCAGGTCTAATGACTTTCCTAACAAATACACGGTATATATGTCTGCTTGAAACAGATTTTCTTTTTTATTCTCAATTGTTTTCCTTATATGCCGAAGTTACAAATGGCCTTTGTTCATATTTTCTTTTCCTCAATTTATAAAAAAATAACAATTGGAAAGTGATTTATTATCTAAAGATTTTCAAATGCAATGTTGCCAGCCTCATCAGGTTTGGAGTGTTTGGCAGCATTAGAACCCCGGTATGCGGCTAGGTGGTGGTTTGACTCCCAGTGTCAAGGACAATTTGTGTGGGACATATACTAAGGGTCTTAAAATAAATGTCCAGATATTGTAAATTTCAGGGTATGTCCACATCAAAACCTGTGTTTGTATACAAAATAAAACAAACTACAGGGCAGAAGGAGGTAGCTTTTAGAAGCCATCACTATTCTTAAAACAAATATATACTATTAATTGCATTGTACAATGTTTACATATTACAAACATATTTGATTTTATGTTAATTCCTTTGGTAATAAGAGTGAAACTAGTATTTCAGTGTGCATGTTTTTCAACAATTACTTAAAAGTAGTATGCAATAAAAAATGAAAATCAAACATCAATTTATATACATGAATTTGTTACAAAGTTACTATGACCAAAAAGTTATGAAATAAAGATGAAAATATAATTGTTGGATGACAAAAAAAAAGCTGGCACTATGTCATGTGTTTCTCTAACATGTTGGCCTTAGCGAGCTTATAGCTTCTATTTTAACAGCCAATGTACAAATATACAAGTATATCATACACAATGTATTGCAATACTGAATTGTAGCTTCCTGGTACGGTGTACTTTGTACATCTGTCTTAGTCACTTGTAAGCTTGTATTCACACACTAACCAATATATGTTCTCATGTCCCTGTCGTAAGTATACACAATGTCATGACAAATCTCAATGAAAGCCCACTTAACTTCATGTATAGAGGTACGACACAATAGCACCTCAGCTATCCTCAGTCTTCAGTGAGCGTCCACGAGGAATCCACCTCGCACAAATTCTCACTCAACACTCCCGATTATCTGAACACTTCATAATAAGATTATTATCACAATGAAACTGAACGTCCAAGTTCCAACCTGCCTTATATGGTACATGTACAACTTGTACGAGTAAGACTCAGGTAAACAAAAAATAATTTCAACAATAATGGTACCTTGATTGCAGACGTCAACACTTAAATACTAATTTAGGATGTTATGTTGGGTTTTTTTTTCATTTGCATATTTACCCAATTTTCCAAAAGAAATACCATGTTTATGAAAATTCACCATCAGCTCATCGAGTATATCATTCTTCATCAAATCACTGGGTTAAACCCAGATGTCTCCATATAAAGATTTTACAAAGTTTAAAGTCTTTAAGATTTGTAGGAGTAAACCCTTTCACCCCTAGGAAACTTAAGTAGACTCTACCATACATTGATCTGGATGAGTCTATCATGGTCTACAGTGGTGAAAGGGTTAATTTAAAATGATCAAAATAAAATTAGAAAAAAAATCCCTCCACATCAGAAAGCTGTTGTACCCTTGCAACCTTTGGACATTTAAAACAAATTAAAGTTGAAAATAAAAACCTAACTGTTCCCTCCCTGTTCACCAATACGGCTTGGTCCAGAACGATGACCGGAAGTCAACTGTGAATATAAAGGTTGGGGGAGGTATCAGGTACTGTTTATATCCTCTTTGGTAAAACACAAATGAGAGATTTGTCTTCATGACTAATTAAATCAGTTTGATATCAGTTATGTACATAGAACATATCAGGTATGAGTATCACTAGTGGTTGCCCTAAGTTTTGTTACTATGACAACTACACCATATCTGAAGCATGGTTGTCATGGTAGGAGGTGACGGTATCTGGGTGATACGGTGGCCGCTGTACCGTCTTGTAGCTTGGCACTGCTGTAATACTGCTTGGCTGAAATTTAAAAAAAAACCACATCTCAATTGGATTATACAATCAAGAGGCAGGCCCAGTTGGCCTGTGTCACTTGTTCCTTTTGTAAGCTAACCTAGACAATCATTTGAAATTTTTTCTGCCAACATTTAAAGTCAGGGCCATCTGAATTTCTTATGATGATCCAAAGAATTCTAATGACACAATTTGGTAAAGACAATGTCAGAAACCATTGTATGACAGTTCACACTAAAGTTAATCTGGAAAATGTTGTGGTATCTTTGTTCAACATGGGAGGAACTTGCCTCGTAAACATCAAGATTTGTTACAAGTTCTTGTTTTGGTGACTTATTTCTGTGTTATAGAGTTTGCTACAAGTTCTTGTTTTGGTGACTTATTTCTGTGTTATAGAGATTGCTACAAATTATTGTTTTGGTGACTTATTTCTGTGTTCTAGAGTTTGTTACAAGTTCTTGTTTTGGTGACTTATTTCTGTGTTATAGAGATTGCTACAAATTATTGTTTTGGTGACTTATTTCTGTGTTCTAGAGTTTGTTACAAGTTCTTGTTTTGGTGACTTATTTCTGTGTTCTAGTGTTTGTTACAAGTTCTTGTTTTGGTGACTTATTTCTGTATTCTAGAGTTTATTACAAGTTCTTGTGTTGGTGACTTATTTCTGTGTTCTAGAGTTTATTACAAGTTCTTGTTTTGGTGACTAATTTCTGTTCTAGAGTTTATTACAAGTTCTTGTTTTGGTGACTTATTTCTGTGTTCTAGAGTTTGTTACAAGTTCTTGTTTTGGTGACTTATTTCTGTGTTCTAGAGTTTATTACAAGTTCTTGTTTTGGTGACTTATTTTTGTGTTCTAGAGTTTGTTACAAGTTCTTGCGTTGGTGACTTCTTTCTGTGTTCTAGAGTTTATTACAAGTTCTTGTTTTGGTGACTTATTTCTGTATTCTAGAGTTTATTACAAATTCTTGTTTTGGTGACTTATTTCTGTTCTAGGGTTTGATACCAGTTCTTGTGTTAGTGACTTCTTTCTGTGTTCTAGAGTATATTACAAGTTCTTGTTTTGGTGAATTATTTTTGTGTTCTAGAGATTGTTACAAGTTCTTGTTTTGGTGCCTAATTTCTGTGTTCTAGCGTTTGTTACAAGTTCTTGTGTTGGGGACTTATTTCTGTGTTCTAGAGGTTGATACTAGTTCTTGTTTTGGTTACTTATTTCTGTGTTCTAGAGGTTGATACTAGTTCTTGTGTTAGTGACTTCTTTCTGTGTTCTAGAGCTTATTACAAGTTCTTGTTTTGGTGAATTATTTTTGTGTTCTAGAGTTTATTGCAAGTTCTTGTTTTGGTGGCTTATTTTTGTGTTCTAGAGTTGGTTACAAGTTCTTGCGTTGGTGACTTCTTTCTGTGTTCTAGAGCTTATTACAAGTTCTTGTGTTGGGGACTTATTTCTGTGTTCTAGAGTTTGTTACAAGTTCTTGTGTTGGTGACTTATTTCTGTGTTATAGAGTTTGCTACAAGTTCTTGTGTTGGTGACTTATTTCTGTTCTAGAGTTTGTTACAAGTTCTTGTTTTGGTGACTAATTTCTGTGTTCTAGAGTTTGTTACAAGTTCTTGTGTTGGTGACTTATTTCTGTGTTCTAGGGCTTGTTACAAGTTCTTGTTTTGGTGACTTATTTCTGTGTTCTAGAGATTGTTACAAGTTCTTGTTTTGGTGAGTTATTTCTGTGTTCTAGAGTTTGTTACTAGTTCTTGTTTTGGTGACATATTTCTGTGTTCTAGGGTTTGTTACAAGTTCTTGTGTTGGTCACTTATTTCTGTGTTCTAGAGATTGTTACAAGGTCTTGTGTTGGTGACTTATTTCTGTTCTAGAGTTTTATACTAGTTCTTGTGTTGGTGACTTATTTCTGTGTTCTAGAGATTGTTACAAGTACTTGTTTTGGTGACTTATTTCTGTTCTAGAGTTTGATACTAGTTCTTGTGTTGGTCACTTATTTCTGTGTTCTAGAGATTGTTACAAGGTCTTGTGTTGGTGACTCATTTCTGTTCTAGAGTTTGATACTAGTTCTTGCGTTGGTGACTTATTTCTGTGTTCTAGAGATTGTTACAAGTTCTTGTTTTGGTGACTTATTTCTGTGTTCTAGAGTTTATTACAAGTTCTTGTTTAGGTGACTTATTTCTGTGTTCTAGAATTTATTACAAGTTCTTGTTTTGGTGACTTATTTCAGTGTTCTAGAGTTTGTTACAAGTTCTTGTGTTGGTGACTTATTTCTGTGTTCTAGAGTTTGTTACAAGTTCTTGTGTTGGTGACTTATTTCTGTGTTCTAGAGTTTGATACTAGTTCTTGTGTTGGTGACTTATTTCTGTTCTAGAGTTTGATACTAGTTCTTGTGTTGGTGACCTATTTCTGTGTTCTAGAGTTTGTTACAATTTCTTGCGTTGGTGACTTATTCCACTAGGGAATAGTTTTAGGGAATTTTCCTCGCAAATAGGGTAATTTCTATCCCCTTTAACTATTCCGTAGTGATTCATATGTTCTAGAGTTTGTTTTCAACATGTTTTTAAATCATAAACTATGAGAAATCATGTAATTTTCATTATCGAGCTCATCACAGATTTAAGAATTTCAACATGGGGCTAATAGTGTGTGGGCAACCCTTTACACACAGAAATATGTATGCAGTGCCAATTCAAATTTAAGTTTCTTGATCTACTGGGACCAATTTGTGAGTACATGAATAATGAATTAAGATAAACTGAGGTAAGAACTGTGGATCTTTTTGATACTTTGTTTAAACTTTCAATAAGTGGAAAACTAAATGAAGCTGTACTCACCAAAGGTTCTATGTCTGTACGCTGATTGTAGGGATGGTTCATATGGTCGTGAGCATTGTAGTCTTCCTCGTCACTGTCCAGTAAGTTCACCATCGAAGGGGCCAGTTTCTCCTTCTGTCTTTGTTAGAGTTAAGTGCTACTAATAGCTAGTTATGAAAACGGGTTCAAATCCATAATCAATAACAACAGCTTTGTTAATTAATACATATATGTTCTGTACCCAAGTTAATCAATGTTTAAAAAAGGGTTTTGTATTTCACAATTTTGATTTGGTAGAAAAACGAAATGATTTTATTGTAATGACTATATTTAATACCAAAAGGATACATTTGTTTTAGTGTCATCTTTTTCTTCTTTCTGGAGAAAAACTTCTTTGCTAATGCAACAAACTGCTTTCTTGATGCTGTGAAATAAAACAAATTACATCCGTATATACATACCAATGTTAAAGAATGGTTGAATTAGTACGTATCTCTCATTATGCAAGGCATTTACATATTTAATAGCACAAATGTCATTCAGAGTCCCAATACTTCGACCACCTGGCCTTATTCAAGGGCGAAACATTGTCAATGATCGATATGGGTTGATATATTGGGACTTAGAGTGACATTTGTTCTGTCATTTATCTTTTTTTCCCTTTAGAAATCATCTGTTATTTATTATATCTATTTAGTTTTTATGTTTAGGGACCATTTCCAGATGTACATTTACTTCAAACCTGTATTACTGTGAGCTGTAAATCTGTTATCTGAAGCTAGGCCCCATCATATGAATTTTTACATGAAATGGACCAGTGGAATATGAAATCCTGCATGTTGTGCCTAAATTATTTAAACAAGTGCTTTCACACGTTCGTCGTACATGCATCAGGGTATTAAAACTGTCAGATATATATCGTCCTAAACTGATGGAAAACATCATACTCCAAAAATCCAAATAAGTTCAGATGGATCAATAAATATCTGCCCTTTGTATCAAACTTAACAATTCTTCAGATTTCTTTACACCTTAGAAATTCCCACTGATGTATTTTTTCATAGAGTGTGCTGGTAGGCTAAACATATTATCGGTTTTTAAATTATCCAATAGGATGAAAATTCAATTCTGACCCAATTGCGATACAAGTGAATACACTACCCTCATACACATCGGAGGTCACAGCCCACTGATCTTTTACTCTAGCCGAACAGTGTGACACACTCACAATTCTTGGTATGGTAGGAATATATGTGTCCCAGGGCATATAGATAGCAGCCACATGAACGAACATTTATATGTGATATGTGTAAGTATCTAAGTACTGAATGAAAGGCACGGGACACCAGAACATGTGCCCCTGACGCACTGATGTCAAATCAATAACCCTACTTTGTCCTGTAGGAACAGGAGGATTCGATTTGAGTTTGTTTTCTATACCATACTCCCTGACATTCAAAAATACATATGCACAGGATGCAATAGCATGATAGGGACTCATCAAATACATTTTTTAAATCTCTGCCTCACCTCCTCCCATGTTTTTGAGTTGGCGCCTCAGTTCTGCGTCGTCGTCTTTCTCTTTTGGTATAGGCTGACTGAAGGGAAATGCATCCATATGATCTGTGCTGTCCTCCCCGTAGCCTTCTGTAATAACAAGAGACCTCACTGTGCAGGATCTCATAAAGTCGGGAAATTTTACCTCATTATCAATAATCTTTGCTTAACCTACCATATATACATCAGTATATTAAACAGAAGGAAAGTTTACATCTTATATGATAAATACAAGTACACATTTTGTGTATAACAAATTTGTACATGTCTGCTTTTTCACTTTTCCACACCATTGCTCATGGTGACAATAAGAGTTGACCTTACCATGTTCTAGTGGAGGGAGTTGCTGGGGAGGCTCTGGGATAGGTTCAAAGGCTGACAGGTTCATACGATCTGAAAAGTACAAAGTTCTTAGTCTCTCTACATATATACAGCAGGTATGTGATGAGACACCACAGATATTACACTGGGCTTTTACAACCTAGAACCAGTTGAAATCAATTTTTCTTAAAAAAAGTGGGAAAGTCAATAGTGGTTTTACTGAATGACCTGTTGCGAGAAAACTACTGGTAAGCATAATTACTGGTAAAACAACAGGTACAAATTTATTGACATTAAGATGGTGACGTGTGGCAGATGTTTTAAAAGCATACTTTGTACTGTAACTGCAGTAAGACTCGAAGGATCTTGAATTTGTTTGCATTTCATATGAGATTTTCATAAGTGTAGGAAGTATTAATGATTTATTTAGAGGGTTACAGATGTTTTACATTACCACCATATCAAAATGTTGGACATATTCTGATTTTTTTCCTCACAAGATTTCAGGAATGAATATATGTTGTAATGAGTTACTGTAATACTGTTATTGGGAAACTGGAATTTTATTACCTCACATCAAACATAATTTGTCAATTAGGGAATTTTAACTATACATGTGATCTGAAAGTACATACTCTTTATATTACCAGGTAACTTTTTATAGTTTTATCCTTCAAAAAATGTCTTTTTTAATAGGATGAGAACCATTTTCCAGTGTTTTATGTTTAAGAGGATAAGAACGGGCCCATTTCCAGTTTTTTCATGTTTAATTGGATGAGAACTCACCCCTTTCCAGTGTTTTCATGAAGTCCTCATTGCTCCTGAGCTCTTCCAGGAACTCACTATTCTGTAACATGATAGCAAGCCTCTCGTCCTCCAAATACTGTGACATTTCTGGGTCTGCATTCATCACTGCTCGCTTCCTCCGTCTCTCATTCTCCTTCATCTTCTCATCTAACATATCCTGGCTGAACTCCAGGGAGGAAATCATCTGGTACATAATTATATACAATTAATCAATAAGCATAAAAGATAAATGATAGTTAACTTCAATAAAATGAAATACTAATAGCTATACAAGTGCAAATATCCCTAACCAAAAAATACAAGGCTAACTGTTACTCATCAGACAGCAGAAATGAAGGTTTCTTCTTTTCCCTTTCACTTTTAAACAAACCTCCATTAGCCTCTACCAGGGTAATAAATGCATTCATTGGTAACAAACCCAAGTCAAACAAACTTCGCTTAATAGAATTTGCTGTTTTTGATTCAAGTCTAGGCATTTGACACAAAAATAGCTGAGCTAGAAGCATGAGGTCAAGCAACCATTGACAGTAAAAGTTCATTATGTATTATACTCATAACAAACCATAGACTATACATATCACATAGCCTTACCAATGTCTTTGATCCAGGATTACTGCCTCTAGCACTAAATGAACTCTGATGCATTAAAGGTGAAGTATCTTTGTTGTTTTGCGATGTCAACCATGACTTTTCACTCGTCTTCTCACTCAGACTGCGTGACATCCTCTTGCGTTCTCCATGACTGCGACTTGACTTTGAATGTCTGTGACGTGAACTCTGTGATTTAGGTGTGACGTCATGTGACGATGCCATATCATCAAGTGACTGGTGCACAGGACTACTTAGCATGGGTGGTGTAGAGAGAGTAAGAGAGGAGGGGGGCTGGGGGGTAAAGGTCAATCTTAAGAAGTCCTCTGGTAAAGTACCCAACATTGGTGGGTTCCAGTTACGAAAGTTTCTCTTTGGAAGTCTACTCTGAATTATGTCTGTGTTAGGTAGAGGGCGCTTTGGCTCTGTATTAGACAGAGACAATTCGTCCACATCCCCGTCTAGGAGGTCCCGACCTCTGTACCTTGATCCCAGAGACGAAGATGGTGACCGCTTGCTGCCACTGTGTTCCTTTTTGAGGGAGCCTGAAGGTGATTTGTTCTTAATTGTAGAGGAAGTAGAGTGGTCTTGGGCCTGACTAGAAATAGGCGTGGTCCAGATACTACTAGAAGCCTGTGAATGAACAGCTTCTGTGTAGGAGGGTGGTGAATCCTCTGTCCTCTCTTCATTGTACTCGGGGCAATCATCAGACAACTGTGGAACAAGATCATTATATACAGTAAACGATGGACTCATGAATGATAGTACAGCTCAACACTTACCCAGACTTAACACAAATTGTTGTTCTTTAACAAGTTACCAACACTTTAATATGTAATATGAATGCTTCTTAACTCCTTGATATCATAAAGTTAAACCAACTTACATGTATTTAAATTTATTTTGATATGTAATTGTAAAGTGCAGTAAATATATTTTAAAATCAAAAGACATATTCTAGCTTTCAGTCTTAGAGGAAAGTGATTCAGAACTGTGTAATAATATAATAAATTTATAAAAAGAATGTAAACATTTTAATCATTATAACTAACAATACTCATGATTTTTAAGTCTGCTATATACTATTTTATAGGCTAGTGAATGAGTCACAGAAGGACAGATAATAATCTATTTCCTATATACGTATGTGTCATTGTAGAATAAGGAAATAGATATGGAACAGTTTAAAGTCTACATATGATACTTACAGGAGAAATGAGGTCAGACGGCACTGTGACCGGAGACTCGCTACCATCATTGTCAATACTCATTGTCAGCAGCTGGTCAATAGTTGCATCCACTGCCCCATCATTGGCCCTCAATACTGCCTCTATCACATCATTTTCCATCATAGGGAACATAACCTTAAAGTCTGACATGGCCTGGTAAAAGTCCAACTGTTTGGTTGGGCGTGAGGACTGGCGGGACAGTCTGTGGTGATGATGGTGACCATGGGAAGATGATTCACCAGGGGTCTCTGAACTTGTACTGTTATTAGGAACAAAGTCATTTTCCATACGGGATGAAGGCTGGTTCCGACTTCTGCGTCTACTACTGTGCTTTTGAGGTTGGGTTGTGTCTGCTGTTGCCATGGTTATAATTTTGTTTTGAAAATTGAGTTAGGCTAATGAGTGATCACGTTATTCTTTGATGTTTCCGATCGCAAGTACATTGTACAAAAAAGTTTTATTTCTCAGTCATGTTGTATGATAATACCATGGTGAATCCTAGATTGATGGTTCTAGTACCATTCTCTTATATCACCTGTAATTCAAAAGAGAGAAATAATTCTAAATACACTAAATTAGTTCACTGATTTTTGGGGCTCAAATATTTGAGTTCAGGGCCCGTATTCATGATACTTTTCTCATGCTCAAATATGGATTCTGTGCTCGATCCAGCTTTCTTGGAACTCGCTCAAATCATGTAAAACAACAAAAATTCAAATGTAAACACTGAAAACAGTATTCGATTTTAAGTATCTTCAAATCTTTTCTAAGTCATTTGAAGAAAAGAGAATGAGATTTTTGAATACGGGCCCTGGACTCGTGCTTTTCCTGTGGGACTCATCAACTTTTTAAGGATCTACTATATCTCAAAGTTATTAATTGATTGGACTCATCAAAATCTTTAACAAGAGTACCGCGGGGCGGAATAAAATACGCAAGTCGAATGCGATATAGTGTTAAATACTTTCTTACATTGAAATAAGATCTGCATCATTTTAAGAGTGGTTAGCTGATATGCTATAAAAAATGTAGGAGAAAATCTTCAGACAAACAAGAGGCCCAAGGGCCTTAGCGGTCACCTGAGTTATATCATAGGTACTGGTAGCTTTATTTTATTGTTTAGATGTGATGTGGAAATCAGCATGTAAACTAAGTGAAATACAATACTTGTCATGTCATCAAAGGATAAGAATGTGAAAATATTGGTAAATGTTCCCTTTGGGGCCCCGCCCTAGCCCCTGGGGAGGGGGCAGGAATCCCAAATTTACAAAGTAATACCGTAAAAACCCATGTAATTTGCGCACCTGTATAATTTGCGCAGGTACTTTTTGAGGCTGAAAATCGGGAAAAAAGCTTCTACTCGAATATTTTGCGCACCCAAAAAATCTGGAAAAAAACGATGTTCATGCTCCGAAAATCGATCTCTGAATATTTTTTTTTTAAATATATTTCTATGATTTTTTTTTCATTGATGTAAAATGATATTCAAAACCAAGAAGAAACTACGTAAAATGTGTATTTTGTTGCTTGTTTTCTTTGAATTATCTGATCACACATGACACACACGTGTGCGCAAAGCGGCATACATCAATTCATTTTAGCAATATTTTACATAAAACATTTACCTGCTAACAAAAACATATTAATTACTAAATAATTCGATGTTTAATAACCGCTGGTGCATATCTCCTGGTGAAAGACATAATTAGAAACCTTTTATTGATCAAAATTACGATCAGTGAGAAAGGCTCATCATGGCGGCTTGGGTTACGTCACTTCAAACCAGGTCATGTCACAGATCAGTTTGGCCACGGAATTAGATTATCTAAGTCCGTGGTTTGGCGATATTTTTTACAAATTACAATGCAGTAATTAGCTAACACTATCTCTGTGATTACCCGTTAACAATAGCTCTACTAATAGAAATGATTTGCAGTCGCGATCGACGGACCGTGTTGTTGTTTATTCACTCACCAACACGTGGCGTGAATTACGAAGCCCTACTGCATTGTCATAACAACAGACTGATTTGACTGATAAGGGATTATAAAAAATATGTTTATACTAGAAGCGTGGACAATCAATACATCCTCTTCAAATCTACTCCAAGGAAAAAAATAGTTAATGCAGACTATTTTTACGGTGCTTCATTTAATAAATATTGAAATAATTCATGAGGTTATTATCAATCACGTGTTTACGTAATGTTAGACAACATGAAAGTGAGTCGTAAAAAAAACATGCTATACGTTTACGCATAGGCGATTTGAAAAAACCTTACAGAACTTACATGGAACGGAGCTTAAATTGAACAACTACATTTTTGTAATAGCATGGGGAAACGCACCGAGGTGTCGAAACGTAATGTCGTAAGTTGATCGGCGATTCTCTGGCATAGGAATTTGGCTAAACTTTTTTTGTTAACGGTTACCTATTTAATAATACTTTTCACATAAACTCACATAACAACACATTATGTATCTTTTATTAATGTTTGACATAAATAAATTTGTTGACCGTCATTTGTCTTAGAGTTCCGTGTATAATAAATAAGGGAAATAATCCAAGATGGCGATCTCCCAGAATCGTCGATCTTTTCCTGAAAAAAACTTGAAATTTTCTATACCTGTGTATTTTACGCACCCCCCACTTTGGGTATTAAATTTCTG